GTCGGCGGCCTGGTAGCCCAGCAGCAATGTATCGGGCCCTGTCACACGCCCCTCGCCGACTACGCCCTCGTAGCGCTCAATTACTTCTCCCTGCAGGGCTGTGCCTGCGCAGTCGGCGAGCAGCCTCTAAAAGGGCTTCTCAGTCCGGCGGCCAATGCCCGTCTTTCCGCCATTGAGGCGCTCACTAATCTGGTCGGCTGTGCCATTACCAAGCTGGAGGATATTAAGCTGGCTCTGGTGTGGGCGTGGCCGGCCAATATGGGCGAAGCTGAAGCCAGTAACCTCTACCGAACTGCCGAAGTTTNCCGGCCAATATGGGCGAAGCTGAAGCCAGTAACCTCTACCGAACTGCCGAAGTTTTAGTGGACTTTTGTCGACAGTTGGGCGTGACGATTGAGTCTAGCGTCGAGTCGCTCAACTCGGGAGTTTTGAGCAGCGAGGCGGAAAAGACCTCCGATCAAGCGAATAGCCCGCCAACTAAACCGCCGGGAACTCTAATTGTCACTGCCTATGCCCCTGTACCGGATATTCGGGTTAAGGTGACGCCGGAACTGGCCGTCACTGACACCTGTCTGATATACCTCAACTTTAGGGCGGCCAGTCAGCAGACGTTCCGCCTGGGCGGCTCCATTCTCGCGCAGACGGTGGGTCAACTGGGCGCACAGTGGCCCGACGTGGAGAATGTGGAGCACTTTAAGACGGTCTTTACCACTGTTCAGTCGCTGATAAAAGAGGGCATTATCACTGCGGGCCACGACGTTTCGGATGGAGGGCTGGTGGTGGCACTCCTGGAGATGGCCTTTGCCACCAACTGCGGCCTGAAGGTCAACTTTGAGTACAGTGTGCCGCAAAGCGAGGAGCCTCGAGAGTACGCCGATTTTGAGGTGCTCTTTGCTGAGGAGCCGGCTCTGCTTTTGGAGGTGCCCATTGAGCAACAGCGAAATGTGATGAAGGCCTTCAATGGTACAGGACTGAATCCTCAGGTGATTGGGCGAGCTGTGGAGGAGGACTGGGTGGAGATTGCCATCAACGGAGTGGTGAAGATTAAGGTAAGAAGTTTAGGAGTTTTTAAAAATGGTAACTAACTTTTTCTTTAGGACAAGATGACCATCCTCCGCGAGGTCTGGGAGGCTACTTCATTTGAGCTGCAAAAGCTGCAGCAGGTCAGTCGAGAGTGCGTCGAAGCGGAGCAAAGGGGATTGAAGAGTCGAAAATCTTTAAATTGGACGCTTACCTACGATCCGGCGGAGGTGAAACTGAGTAAGTCTAAAAAATCTTTTTTCAACTACAAACTTATCAAGTAAATTCCTTTTTTTCTCAGACATTGATTCCCACCTTTCTTCCGCCCCTAAAGTTGCCGTCCTCCGAGAGGAGGGCAGCAACTGCGACCGCGAGATGTCCGCCGCTTTCTTCATGGTCGGTTTCGACCTTGCAGACGTAACTGTCACCGATTTAATCTCTGGATCAGCCACTCTCGACTACTTTCAGGGGCTCGTCTTTGCCGGCGGCTTCAGCTACTCTGACGTGCTAGGCAGCGCTCGAGGTTGGGCCGCAACGCTGCTCTACAACGAAGGCATCAGTGCGCAGATGGGCCGCTTCCGAGCTCGTGGAAACACCTTTGCGCTGGGCTGCTGCAACGGCTGTCAGCTGATGACGCTGTTGGGATGGGTGGGCGAGAAGGGGGACGGTAGCCAGGGAACGATGCTCGCCCCCAATGCTTCCGGGCAATTTGAGTGTCGCTTTGTGAACGTTCTGATACCTGAAGAGACGCCGGCGATGATGTTCAGAGGCATGGGCGGCAGTGTGATGGGCGTCTGGGCGGTCCACGGCGAGGGCCAGTTTGTCTTTGAGAGTCCGGCAGTTGAGAACTCCGTCAAGGGAAAGGGCCTGGTCAGTCTGCTGTACGTCGACGATGACGCCCAGCCGACCTCTCGCTATCCTCACTGTCCCAATGGGAGCAGTGGAGGCGTGGCGGGCATTACCAGCGAAGATGGCCGCTTCCTGGCGCTGATGCCCCACCCGGACCGGGCGGCCCTCGCCTGGCAGCTGCCCTATGTGCCCAAGAATATGAAGGCGACCTTTGGGTTGAAGGGAGGTCATGGAAGTGGTGCTGGTAGTGGAAGTGGAAGTACACCAGCACTGCTCGGAAGTCACTGGGCGAAGATGTTTGAGAATGCCTACCGATGGGCGGTGGAGAATGCTTGATTGAATTGATGACTAACAAATTAGCTGGCTTTGACAGTTTTTTGCAATACAGTTTAATATAAAACAGAAAAAGAGATAGAGACAAAAGTATAAAGTTCATTTGCATGACAGTTGGTTTGATAAGTGGAAAAAAATATGGTACGTTCAAAAGCGAGCTAAGCAAACATCTTTGGAATAAAATATGGTAGATCATAAAAGAAAATAGTACAGGAAATACTGTGATTTCAAGATGAGGTTAAAATGCTTTTCTTGCTCTTTCTCCAGGTTCGTTCCCAGTTGGAAATGTCTTCCATTTCTTCCGGGTCTAAACCAAAGTCTCCAGTGCCAGGACTTTCTGTGGACGACTTATTTAAATGCATGTTTTGACTGCGGAGACTTTTCCTTTTCCCACCACCACCATCATCATCATCACCATCATCGTAGTGCTCCACAAGCTCTGTCACACTGTCAAACTCCAACTCGCCTTTGCAGCGACAGTTGACACGTCGGCACAGGTAGCGAAGGGAGCGACTAATACTGCGCACTCGAAGGGCAAAAGTGGTCTTTGGCAAGCTTTCCTCCGTTTTCCCATTTAAAAGAAGAACGGCCCGCCCTTGAGCCTCCGCCCAGAGGGCCTCTTCCGCCTTCAAGCTGGCTCGATCGACCTCGATAAAGCGCTGTAGGTAGTCGGGGTCATGGAGGCGGCTAGGTCCTGCTTTTGATCCTGGTCGTTTGCTGGGCTTAAGATGTTCGCCGGTGTGCCACTGTTGAATGTGTGCAAGTACGTTGCTATTGAGGGAAGCGGTAAAACTGCAGGAGGCTGGAGCGTATCGGCAGCGGTAGTGTAGCCCAGCACCTTTTCGATGCGTTTGGTCGTGGATTTTAAGGCTGAGCAACGTCCTGAACTCCCGCCACTCACAGCCGTTTCGCTGGCAGATAAAGCGAGCTTGATTAGCATCCATTCCTTTTGGAGCACTGAGGGCAATGACCAGTGGTTCTAAGCTGGCCACTTTNTCCCGCCACTCACAGCCGTTTCGCTGGCAGAGGAAGCGAGCTTGATTAGCATCCATTCCTTTTGGAGCACTGAGGGCAATGACCAGTGGTTCTAAGCCCTCTTCACCAAGTTCCTCTTCACCAACAGTTGATGACTGGGAAAGAAAGAGCTCCCCTTCTACGGCCAAAGTTGACTGATCGATCGGAGTTTTTCTTTTAGCAGCGGTTTTAGGCTTTGGAGGCGGAGAGCTGAATAGTCGCTTTCGGGTCTTTCGTTTCTTCTTTTTTATTACCGGCAAAGGCTGGTTAGTGGTCGCGGCTTCTTCGACGGTGGCAGAAGCTTCTGGTGGTTCTGGAGTCATCGCCAAGTAGTCAGTGTGAGATGGAAGCTGACCAGAAGGTCCACTAACAAATCTTTCATCCGCAAGTTCTTCAACTTCAGCTGCTGCTGCTGATTCATTTTCAGCCTTGCAGCTCATGTACTCCTCCACGCACTGTCGGTGTTCCTCACTGTGCAGCCAACTAAACAGTGCTCTCTTCTCTTCAGCCAGCAAGAAACGATCGACGGCCACGTACTTTTGTTGTACATTTCGATGTCCGTGCTGACTGGCAATGTGCTTCTTGGCGGTTTCCTGCCGCGAAAAAGGACCCGGTTCGGTGCAGTCGGGAAAGGCGCACCGGTAAGGCTTAATACCGTGGTGATGTTCTCGGTGGTGGTAACGAAGTGCGTTCACGGTGGTGAAAGGATCCAGACAGGGTCGACAGAAGAAAATGGGCAAACTGGGCGGGTGATTCAACTGTTGTTCAGCGTCGTTGTTCTTGTCGTTCAAGCAGGTCATATCATCATCGCCTGCTTCTTCACGTGCTTCTGTACATTGAAAACGATGGCGGTGGTGGTAGTTTTTAAGTTCAGGAATTTGCCTGTCGTTCAAGTGTTCTAAAGATGGAGCTTCTAATAAGTAAAAACTGATTTATTTTTGTATTAATGAGTTGTGAAAACTTACCATTTGAAGGCGTTTTATTGACAAAAGTTCCCGAGTTTGCGGTTTTGATGTTCTGTGATGTTTGAGCTGCTTTTGATGCAGATATTGCGGCTGGCTGAGCTTGATGCGGATCTTTGGCAGGGTTTGGCAAAACCTGAGGTTTGTCGTCATCGTCATTCAGAAGTACGACATCGTCATCGAGACAGATGACATCATCATTGTCATCAGCGATGTATTCTGAATCCGAGTCAATGGTGATGATTTCTGGTGAGCGATGTTCTTCCTCAACAAAAACAAAGTTATCTTCTTCGAACTGTTCCTTCATCTTATCTTCTTTTTTTCCATTCGAGCTTTGGTTATTGCTTTTCCCATCAAAGCTCTGGTTAGCGGATTGAGAAGCTAAAAGTGGTGATTTAGATTTTGACTGATTAGACAAGGGAAAACAAAACAAAAGTATGCGTGTTTACTAGCTTACATCCTGAAAATGATGCCACCGATTCGGAGGACTGAAAAGTAGATTGAGGGGCTGGTGTTGTTGTTGACACCTGTTGAATGGTGGGCACCATCAAAGGGCGAGCATCACTTGCTGAATTAGTGGCAGTGGTTGATGGCCCTTCACAGGACATTTCACTCGGTGGAGAGAAGATGAGATTGTTGTGGTGGTGAAGTTGGGGATTAGGTGGTCGAGGTGGGCTCAAGTTACCACCGCTGAAACTGTAATTGCCAGACATTGCTGAATGTTGACAGTGATGATGATGATCTCTAAAAGCCAAATGAAAATTCAGCAAAAGCCGAGCAAGCCAAAAAGTTTGAATCAACCCAGAGTGAGTGAACCAGCGCTGGCGATAAAACAAACAAACAAGCGAGCCACTGCTCACGAGCTCGGTGTCCAGAGAGGGATAGAGAGGAGAATCAGCAGCAGAACAACGCAGTGACTCAGCTTGGCGCGTTCCTCTCTTTCTGTGTTCTCTTGTTCTGCGCCATGCTCAATTGCAGGCAGCAGCGGAAAACAACAACAGTGAAAGAGCAGGAAAAAGCGAAAGGGAATAGGAGAAAAGCTTGCTGCACTGTTTATTGCCAGTGACATTTCCCTCTCCTAGTTTTGCTTTCAGCGAGACTTTTTTTTTGAAAAAATCTCGCTTTTAATCTCGCTCTGTGTCTGTCTGTCTGTCTGGACGTGTGTGTCGAAAAACCTCTTCCCAGTCACCGATTTTGCTCAAACTTGGCACAAAAATCACATTAATTCAAACAAAAATTCAGGCAAAAGAATTAGAGTCGTACGATCAACGGGTCCCGAGATCCAGGAACCCAAAAAAACCAAAATAAAAGCATTGTGAAAGGTACAGAGAGAGGAGAACGGCGGACAGTAGCAGACGTGGCGTGCAGGAAAGCATGACTCAGACTGTGTGAGCACTGAGCAGTGAGCAGGCTGCAGTGAGAGAGAGAGAGTCTACAGCCAACGTGTGAGCGCCTGCTACTGCTAGCAAATGTAAACAGTTTGCGGTCCCTTCTGCAGGGAGCGCTACCATTCCCTTTACTAGGAGGGACGAAGTTTTTCCTTTTTTTACATCTAATGTGTTTTTTTCTAGCACGCCTCAAATTCGCGAGGTCTGATGTGACTTGACCACTGTTAACTTTCGTCGACGAGGGTCCTGCGAGCGAAGCGAGCAGGGCCCGAGGAGACCAAGTCACATCAGAGATTCGCGATAAAGTAGTTTTTAGTTATAGCGTTGCACGGCTAAACATGGCTAGGTTTGACGTGACTTGACCAATGTCCATTTCCGTCGAAAGTGGAATAGTTGCGCAAACCTAGCGGTGCACAGCACAAGGCGGCGAGGTCTGACAACACTTGTACACTTTAAACTTCCGCTGCCTCGGGTCCCGCGAGCGAGCGGGGCCCGAGGCGGCGGAAGTTTAAAGTGTACAAGCGATGTCGGGTGAGCCGCCGGTAGTAATAGATGTTTGTTAGCGGTGCACGCCTTCACTTCGCGAATCTCTGACATGACTTGACCACTGTTAACTTCCGTCCACGAGGGTCCCGCGAGCGAAGCGAGCGGGGCCCGAGGCGGCGGAAGTTTAAAGTGTACAAGCGATGTCGGGTGAGCCGCCGGTAGAATGATCGATGTCTGTTAGCGGTGCACGCCTACACTTCGCGAGGTCTGACGTGACTTGACCATTGTCAATTTCCGTCGACAGTAATTGCAAGTTCCTATCGATGCACAATTAAAATCCGCAAAGTCCTAGCGGTGCACGCAAAAAAAAGGCTCGCTGTAGTCCTGGCTTGCCAGACTTACCCCCTGTTTTCCTCTAGAGAGCTAAAGCTAGCTTAAAGCAATTTTGAAGCTAGCGGCAGTTCAGGCACTGTTTGAAAACCAGTACCACTGTCTAGACCATCATAGACCTTTTAAAGTTAAGTTGTTTGGAGTCGGAGCATATGTTAAAGTTCAAATGATTGGGCATCAAGAGTTTAAATGCATGAAACAAAAATGGTGAAAAATGTGAAGATAACTTGACGGCAAATTGTGAAAATTAACATCTACACTTTTATTAGTTTTTAGTTGACTTACAAAATTGTTTTTTAAAATGCTAAAATTTTATTTTAATTTTTCTTTTTAATTTCAAAAATTACATATTTTTAAAGTTAAATTAGTTGTTAAAAATGGTAAAATGTTTAGTTTCAAATCATTTTGTTTGTGTGTTTTGTTTTTTATTAACTTTATCATTTTTTTCTAAATCGTTTGGTTTTTTATTTCGTTTTTTTATTTTTTTGAAAACCATTTTTTAAATCTTAAATACTCTAAAAAATTTTTGCGCGTTACAATAGAATTGTTGTCGTCATTTTCAACATTGTCAACATTGTCGTTTGTTTCATTTGTTGATTGGGCTAAATCACTTTGTGGAGGACAATCTGAAATGTTAATAGAAGGTGAATCTGAAACAATTGTAGTTGGTGAATCTTTAACATCAGATCCAAAACTCACAACAGAGTGGTCTGCTTTAATTCGAGATGGAAACAAAGAAAAATTTATAGGAAATAATTTTGAATTATCTAAACCCATTTGTCAAAAAAAATGAGTTTGCTTGGTTGCTACAATTATAAAATATAAAACACTAAAACAATTGTATTAAAAGTTATTGATCTGTAACGCTATTTTATAAACTATAAAATCTGTTCA